GTGTGTGTGTGTGTGTGTGTGTGTGTGTGTGTGTGTGTGTATATATATATCTATATATACTGTATATATTCTTGTTTTCAAATAATTTGCTTTTTAATCATACTCAGATATATTTGTAGTTGAAATAATGTCAGCTTATATCTCAACAAGCACATACTTCTTTGTAGCAGTTGAGAGCCTGCAGCCTGATAATCTGCAGACGTAATATCGAACGGTCTGCAGACTTCAGCTCGTACACGTTAATCAGACTCTCCACGAAGTTGGGCTGGCTATCCGTTAGTAAATGAAGAGCCCGTCGCTGTAGCGCCAACGGTTGCTGTCCAGAAACTGAACTCAGGTTTACCTGGTGTGGGATACAAATCACAAGTAAAGCGAAGAAAATATTAAAAGTAGTTTTATGACTGGATCCCTGTTGTGTGTGTCTAAAACAATAAAAATAAGTATTTATACCAGATGTGGCAAGTAAAACATATTTTTTAAAGAACTGAGCACAGATGACAAACAACTGCAAAAAGCTGACTTATCTACCTGAGGATTTTCCTTTAGCCATGACTGGAATTCCATGAGAATGTGATAGCCCAGGGTGTGGCTCCGACCCATCTGTTTGCCTGGACAGCCCTCCAGGATTGTTAGCAAGGCTTCGAGAGGCTCAGACAGCTTTGAAAATCCCCGAAAGGCGGCCAAACTGAGCTGTGAGTTGACCAAAGGAGGAGGGAATGATAAAACTATAACGTTTAAGAGCAGACACTACAGCATGTTGATCATTTCTCGTGCAATTACTAGAAACAGTTTTGTTGTTGTGTACCGTAAGCTGGTCAAATCACAATTAAAGCGATCTTTAGAGGGTTGGAATGCAGGAAATCTGAATTGTTCATGGGTGAGTACAGACAATTATTTTTCATCTATTTAAAGCAGATTTGAAGCTGATTTCAAGTGAAGCAAGTACGTAGATCTGGCAGCCATTTCTAAAAACCAACTAGTCTGCAGACACCTTAAGGAGATGACCATCAAAATAACCTACCTGTGGTAAATAAAGAAACTATTCATAACATCCAGCCAAGCAAAACACTCTCTGAGGTCCAGCTGTGAGCTATCAGTCCCTGAACTTGTTCATCTCAAATACACTTAGCTGTGAGTGTCGCCTAACGTGTCCAACACCATGGACCATACCAATAACATGGGCATTAATGATAACGTAACAGACGACACAGACGACTACATTTGTGAGCTGTAAAAGCATATAGTCTGTTCAGACTGAGCCAAACGCAGCTAAGATGATTGGGACTTCCTGCCCTTTGAGATAAAAATGATTWAAAAAATTCTATTGATGCAATTCAGAAGATTAAACGAGTTTACTCTGTGAGCCCAGCACACACAGGGGTTTGTGATGTTTTCTTTTTTTTTTGTTTTCCAGAATAAAAATGCAAACTTTGTCATTAAAAACTTCCAACAAGAGAAAATAATATCTGTGTGAGAAGGCCTTTCACCGTGTCTTAATTTGCAAAACAGATGTCATCCACTCAATATCCTCCTCTCAAGTTCATTCAGACCAACACAAATTCCTTCCTTCTGAGAGACAGTCTGGTTTCCTCATTAACACACACACACACACACACACACACACACACACACACACACAC